TAACATACGATACGATACGATACATACATACATACATACACACACAGATACATACACACACACACATACATACATAAATACATACATACGTACACACACATACATACGAAAAATTAATCTATAAATAGCAACATTAATAATACTATAAATAGAAACAACGAATTTTGTAATAGGTATTCTTTCAAAGTAGCAAAAATTTGTCTTTTACAAACAGTTTTTAGCTTTCAAAATGTGTCTGCGTTTTTCGTTTTTTAGTAGCATAATAAAAATAAAAATAATAATTATAATAATAATAATTATTATGATTGCAATAAAGATAATAATAAAAATATAAAATAATTTATATATAATAAAATCAATTGTTGTTGTTGCCGTGTAATTTTTACCCCAAGCATTAAACCATTTACAATCAGATTCACCACGGTCACTATCATACCCTCATGATCATTATCATCATCGCAACTATTACCATCACTACGACAACATCATTATCATCACCATTATCATCATCATTCTAATCATCATCATCGTCGTCGTCATCTTCCTCATCTTTCTTATTTATTCTTATTAAAAAACTTATACACCTTATGCCTTAGAAATCTAATAAACGAATCAGGGAACTGAGAATGTTGTGTGTTGTTGTTGTTGTTGTTGTTGTTGGCATATTTGATGTAGTTGTAGGGCTGGGCTATCACCTCCATCAGAGAGGCCAGTAGTTTGCGATCCTGGTTTCATTTCGGGATTGATTGATTGATTGGAGGAGTGAATGAATGAATGAATGCATGGATTGATGAATGAATTAGTGAATTTATGAATGGACATATGAATGAATGGATGAATGAATGTATGGATAGATGAATGAATGGGTGAATGAATGAATGAAAAAATGATTGAATGACTAAATTAAAGAATGAAGGAGTATAAGAGTGAATGACTGTATGACTGACTGACAGAATGAATGAATGTTTGAATGACTAAATGACTAACAGACTGAAGAGATAAATGAATAATTATGACCAGAATTATATATAATTTTAGTCATAATTTACCTTAATAACGGCCTGGTGTTGAAATGAAGAATAGAGCTTGCCATCTCTAACTATATCATCAACTAGGTCTTGGTACTCCTCTGTTTAATTAATTAATAAATAAATATTACGAATAAATAATTATTATTATGAATAAATTAAAAATAATTTAAATGATAATAATATTAATAAAATATGATAATCACTATGACACATAATGAGAATCTCCCTAACGGTAACTAACGAATATTATTTAAAGAATAATACATAAGAATCACATCACACGCGCATACACACACACACACACACCCGCACGCATATGTATATATATATATATATATATATATATATATATATATATATGCACATACACACAGACACCCAAACACACGCACACACACAAACAAACAAACACAAACACACAGACTGACCGTTATATGTGGCATAGGGTATGGAAAAGCCAGCAGCGTTATTGGACTCGTCGGTCTTAAAATAGATCCAGAGGTCACGGCTACGAGATGTAAAAGCCACAGGGCTCTCCGAGGTCTCACACGTTTCGTACGTTGTTAAAGAATAGGGCGAGGCTAATTTACGTTAATTTATTCATACATTTCGGCTAATTTATTCATACCTTATTGTTAAGTTATTCGTACGTATGGGTTAGTTCGTTCATTTATATCGAGGCTTTCTTACAAGTAAATTCATTCATATACGTTCATAATGATATTCATGAGTGAAAAATAGAAATTACACAAAAAATGTACACATCAATCTCACCGGATTTCCTCATAACCAAAAAATCCTGACACTTATCCCCGCCGTAGAGGTAAATTTCCGGAATGACCACCAAAATTCGACGACCCTTTTCCGGTGCGATCTTCCAGGTGCACTCCACCTTGGATGGGTACTGACCGGGCCAGTTGGGGCTCTGAATGAAACCCTGTTGGAGCCCAATCTCGCCACCGCACTTGCGTTCTGTTTCGTTTCGTTTTCGTATGGTATGGTTTCGATCTCGTTTCGGTTGGTTCGTGATTCAATTTGATTAGGATTAATTAAAGTAATGAATGTGTTTAATATAATGCTTTAATATCTTGCCCGTAACTTCTTGTACCATTAAATTTTAAAAAACTCAGAACGAATTCTAAATTAATTTTGATGAATTGACAAAATTTATTTAACCCCTTACCCTTGCACTCCTCCGAAGATGTTGCCCCCTCCCCATCCGTCTGGGTGTCTCCGGGGCACGAGATGCAAAAGTTTTGCCCCTCTTCCGGTTGGTAGGTGTCGTGGGAGCATCTCAAGCAATGATTCTCATCTCTGCTGAAGTATTCGCCAGCTTTGCAGCGTTCTGATTGGTTGGTTGGTTGGTTGGTTGAGTTAGAGGTTTGGTTGGTCAATTTGAATGTTTGGTTGGATTAATTTGACTGGTTGATTGATGTGATTGGTTGGTTGGTCAATTTGACTGGTTAATTAATTTGATCATTTGGTTGAATAATTAATTAATTAATTAATTAATTAGGCCTCAATTTTTATCTTATTTTCGATTTTTGATGGTAATTAAAATATTATACATGTGATTAAAATTAAATGAAGAATGAAAAAAATAAAGAAAATAAACTAAAAAAATATGCCAGAAACCAGGGACGAGACACTCGTTAAATCCGACAGCTGCAGTCCTTGCAGTTAGGATCCCATTCCCACACGGAATGCACATCATGCGTGCGTGGTCGGGCTGGTAGGTGCCGAGTGGGCATGGTCGGCAGGGTTTCAATCCATTTTCTGAGTAATGTCCGGGAAGACAGGAATCTGTGTGTGTGTGTGTGTATGTATGTGTGTGTATGTATGTGTGTGTGTGTGTGTGTGTGTGTGTGTGTGTGTGTAGGCTGTTTGTGTTTGTGTATGTATGTATGTGATTGTATAACAACATTTTTAACGCTAAACGGCCTAGGATGATCTACAGCGTCAACAAAAAATAAAAACACAACACCACGACCCAAAACAACAACAGCAACAACTACAACAACAATTTCAACAGCAGCAACAACAACAGCAACAACAACTGCAGCAGCAACAACAACCTCCACATTCGAGGGCACTTTTGGCCCCAACGACCCCATTTTGAAACTCGTTGCATCTCTTGCAAGTTGTCTGTCCTTCCTCGTCTTGGTAGGTGCCTGGAGGGCAGGGCTCGCACCGGTTGGTTTGGTTGTTGTGGAACGTGGCTAAACTACACATCACTGATTCCAAATTAGGATGATGTTTATGCGGTGTTAATTTTTAATCCACACCAATACAACCATATTTAAGGTACTAATTTAAACCAACCAGTTATATTTAACAGTCCGACTCACCAAATCAAACCAACCAACTTTACATCAGATCAAATAATCTGGTCATATTTAAAGGGCCAGTTCTAATTAGCCAATCATATCTTTATTTCAAAATTAATATAATAATTATATTAATAATAAAATCATAATAATAGTAACAACAAGAACTGACCGCATTTTTTCTTGACCAGTACTTGACCCGGTAGGCAGACATCGTGCGGCTTTGAAGACCTCCACGAGTTCTCAATCACTTTGTAAGGTCTTCCATCGTATCTGTATTAAAAAAAACAGGCATATAGTATAGTGGCCGAGTAGTGTAATGGCTACAGACGTCTGGATCTATGCCGCAGTGACCTGGTTCGAAAGCAAACAGATTCCCGTGGGCTATATGTGAATTGTATGATGACGCGTTGATACAAAGGTTCAGATCTCAGTTGCTAATTAGAAAATAAACAACCATTTTTTTAAAAGTTAATTAAACTAAGTGATTCAATTAATTAATTAATTAATTAATTAATTGTGTCTCATTACGGTACTGACTTAATCGAAACGTTCGGCTTCATGTCTCGTTTTAATCTAACAAAAGATCTCTTCCTCTCTACCATTCGTTTTCGCGTGCATTCGATACCGCAGTCCTCTGTTCGTGTGTGTGTGTGTGTGTGTGTGTGTGTGTGTGTGCGTGTGCGTGTGTGTGTGCGTGTTAGTTATTATGATTTATAATTAAATAACAACATTTCATCGTTGAATGATGATGAGCTTTCATGACTATATGATAATGCCATTCGATTAAATTATAGTATTCCATAATTGAATAATAATACTCTATGATTGAATAATAATACTTCATAATTAAATAATGATACTCTATGATTGAATAATAATACTCCATAATTAAATATTTATAATAATAAATAATTAAAATGATATTTTGTATAAAAAAAATCTCTTGAACCAGTCGGGGCAGTGGACTTAACTTCGATCTCAAACTCAGCCGAAACAAGATTCCTCCTACCGTCATAATTATTATTATAATTATTATTACTGCTATTATTATTATTATTGTTGTTGTTGTTGTTGTTTAGGTGCCTAAATTTTCGCTTGACAGTGTTGCACTTGAAGTCGAGAAACTTGACGCTACAAAGGTCACCAGAACAGATTTTATGCGAGGTTGAATCTGTATTGGTTGTAAAATTTATTTATAATGTTTCACAAATAAATAATTATTATTAATAATAAATAATACTATTAATAAAAACTAATTGTATTAAGGTGTCAAATTCAGGTTCAACCAATCGAATTCTAGGTACTAATTCAAATCAGCTAATCATATTCAAGGTAGCGATTCAAACTGAGCAATCACATTTCAGGAGTCAATTTAGATTAACCAATCATATAGAGGGTAGAAAAAATTTTAACCAATGAGAATGGAGTTCAGTTGTTTCTCAATGTCTTTGTAATTTTTCTTCTTGTTGATATCGCAGTGATCTGATAGCAGGGTGAACCTGCCCTTACCCTTAAACCCAGGAGTTAAAACGTGCTCTGAATGAATGATTGATTGAATGAATGAATTAATGAATGATGAATGAATGAAAGAGTAAACGAATGAATGAACATTACATAATATGTGGATCTGAAATAAAACAACCAAACAGAACGAGTGAGTGAAAGTTGGCCGACATCCCAGAGAAATAAACGTCTAGTTACATTCGCGAACATGAAATTTTACGAGCAAAACTATTAAGTACGTGATAATAATAATAATAATTAAATAATAATAATTCATAATTAAATAATAATAATTCATAATTAAATAATAATAATTTGTAATTAAATAATAATAATAATAATGACTATTACGTGCTGCGCATGTACCAATGAAAGTTTATTATTTTTCTCCGTTATTTTTGTTCTAATTATTGATATAATTATTATTATTGGTAGTAGTTGTAGTAGTAGTAGTAGTAGTAGTAGTAGTAGTAGTAGTAGTAGTAGTAGCTGCAACAGTAGTAGTAGTAGTAGTAGTAGTAGTAGCAGTAGTAGTAGTGATAGTTGCATAACAGAGTAAAAGAATATTCTTTACACTTGAAATAATGTGTTATTTTTTCTTCCTCCCATCGTTCACTTAACATACTTTGGGATAATTTTTGCTGCAGATTTTTGTGAAACTTTCCAATAGTTAGCAACAAAATCCATAAAAATATCATATTGTATCATATCGTATCGTATCATATCGTATCGTATCATATCGTATCGTATCGTATCATGTCATATATCTTCACATCACATCGTATCCTATCTTACATTCTATCATATGATAATCATTCTCATCTTCATCATCCTCATCATCATCATTATCTTCATCATCGCCGAAACAACCTGAACAAGAAGGCAAGGGCAGGCCCTTAATTTCGTGGGTCCATTTGTTGTTGTGGTTGTTGGCGTCAGTAGGGTCACATTCCGTCACAAAGGTTCTTTCCAACTGGGGGGTCGTGAATTGACTACCAGACATGCAGCTAAGTTCGCAGATCTGATAGTGATGATGATGAAGATGATAACGATGATGATGATGACGATGATAATGACGATAACGATGATGATGATGATAACGATGATGATGATGATGATGACGACGATGATGATGATGATGATGATGATATCAGCAAATAAATGACCTCTTTGTTTTCTTCTGTTGAACACTTCACAGAAACTTTAGCTGGGAACCTCAATGGGCTGCAACCGACCGACTCTAACGATGATGATGATGATGATGTTTTTGTTGATTTAATCACGTGACCGACGTTGTCATCACCATCGTCGTCGTCATCATCACGTCATCATCACTATCGTCATCATCATCACCATCACCACCATCATTATCATCATCACCATCGTCGTCATCATCATCACGTCATCATCACCATCGTCACGTTATCATTATCATCGTCATCATCATAGCCACAAACCCACGCAATCTTTCATGTTTGTATGGAGCCTGTAGCCATCGTGGCAGCTACACACGAATCCGCCATCCGTATTTACACACGTATGCTCACAGCCACCGTTCGAGATGGAGCATTCGTTTTTATCTGATTGGTTGGTCATCATTAATCAGCTGGCTGCTATTATTAGCAACATTATTTATAGCAACATCAACAACAATGTCGTCGTCGTCGTACATATAAACAAACAAACATACAAACAAACATACAAACATATATATATATGTTTATATATACACATATACACACATACGAACCGTGCCTACAACACAGCTACTACATTCAGATACATACTTACACACTATAACTACGAAAGAGAACGAAACATACATACACGCAAAACGAAACATACATGGAAAACGATACTTATACGATACTACACAAAACGATAAGATGCTACACAAAACGATACGATACTACACAAAACGATACGATACTACACAAAACGATACACGAACCGGCGCAGTGAGTTCCGCCGTATTGCTCGTAACCATGCCGGCAACTACATTTGAAACTGCCAGGTGTGTTGATACACTGGTGGTCGCACGAGTCTTCGAACTGACATTCGTCTATATCTATTCAGGCAAAACGATACGATACGATATTTATTTACATCAAAAAAAAATGAAGCCAGGGCGACTGTGATAAGGCTCACACTGAGCTCATTCAGCACAGCCACTTGAAAACAAATGTTCACAAATTAACACACGTGTGTATGTATAACCAAACGTCAAATTGAAAATAATGAGAAATTTGAATGAAATAAGTTAGATTGAGTATTTCTTCTGTCATCAAAATTTAACAAAAACAGTTTTAAATTCTTTTAGAACATAGCAAGTGATGTTTCGCTTTAGTTTTATTTAGCTTTATCCGAGAACCAAGACACAACACGCGTCAACCAACTCCGTATTTGTTTTTTGGATGACCACATACATACATACATACACACATACATACACACATACATACACACATACATACATACATACATACATACATACATACATACATACATACATACATACATACATACATACATACATACACACACAGACACAAACACAGACACACACAAACACACACACACACTAACCTACACACGTCAGTCGGTCGGTATGAATCTTGTAACCCTTCAGGCAGGTGCATTCGTAGCTCCCCTGCGTGTTTATGCAACCGTCGCTGCAACCACCATTCTTAGTCTTGCATTCATCGATATCTGTTCATCATTTTGATTGTCATCATTATTATTATCATTATTATTAAAGGTTAAAGGTTAAAGGTCAATCTATCTTGTGCACTTCAGTGGTTAGTGTCATTATTATTTTTATTATTATTATTATTTTTATTATTATTATTATTATTATTATTATTATTTTTATTATTGCTACTTTTGCCGTCATTATCACCGTCATCTCATTTCAGAAATTGTCATCATGTCGTCGTCATCATTTTCACATCATCGTGACGTCATCATCATCGTATCATCGTGACGTCATAATCACATCACCGTGACGTCATCATCATCGTCACAGTGACCTACCTTCGCAAGACCTCCCGTTGTCCTTGAGGGTGTAGCCCGCGGGGCAAGAGCAGTGGGGCCCGTGCTCGGTGTTGGTGCAGATCTTGTCACAACCGCCATTGTTCACTTTGCACGTTGCTACAATAATAATATTAATAATAATATTAATAAATTAATAATAATAATAATAAATTATTAATAATAAATTATTAATAATAAATTATTAATAATAAATTATTATTATTATTAATAAATTAATAATAATAAATTAATAATACATTAATGATAACTTGATTAATTAGTATGATTAGATACGATTAGATATATCGTATCGTATCGTATCGTATCATGTCATATATATCTTCATATCACATCGTATCCTATCTTACATCATATCATTATCACATCTTCATCATCCTCATTACTGATAACCCAATTACTCACTCACTCAATTACTTAATTAATTAATTAATTACTTACATAATTAATTAATTCAATAATAATAATTCAATTCAATCAATTAATTCAATAATTAACAACAATAATAATTAATTAATAACTCACTCAATTACTTAATTAATCAATTGATGACTAACCGACACATGAAACAGCGTCTGCCTGCAGCTGGTAGCGGCCGTGGCAGCTACACTTCGTTCCGAGTGGCGTGTCATGGCAGATGTGCTGGCAGCCACCGTTGTGATGCTTGCAGGTCGCTGGTTGTGATGATGATGACAATAACAATAATAATAATAATAACCATAATAATTAATAAGTAATCGTTTGATCTTTTAATGGCTTTAATCAAGCAGTCAAATTTTAACTTATTAATTCTGGTAATGGACTAATAAATGCATACATGTGTACAGTGCACACACACACAAAAACACACAAACACACGCGCGCGCGCGCACACACACACACATACCTTTGCATTCACGTTTCCCGCCAATTTTGACCATCTGATAATTTGGATGGCAAAGACATTTTATAGCGCCTGATTTTGTTGGCTGACAGATGTGCGGGCAGTTGTAATCTTCACGGCACCAGTTCTTTCCTTCTGATTGATTGGTTGATTGATTGATTGGTTGATTGATTGATTGATTGATTGATTGATTAATTGATTGATTGATTGATTGATCGATTGAAAACTAACTTCTACAGCTACGTCCATCCTCCGACAAATGATAACCGTCCCTACAAAGACACCTGCAAAGATGATGATGACGATGATGACGACGATGATGATGATGATGATGATGACGATGATGATGATGACAATGGAGATGATGATGGTAATGATACGAATGACGTTGTTTTGGATTTTCCACGTTCGTCCAGATCTGATCATCCATAAGAACGAACGAACAAAAGAACACGAACCTAAAATTTCCCATCGTGTTTGCGCACACTTGTTCACACCCGCCATTGTCCTGTTCACACTCGTTTATGTCTGGTCATGATAATGATTACGAAGACGACGATGATGATGATGATGATGGTGATAGTAATGATGGTGATGGTGAGGATGGTGATAGTAATAATGGTGATGGTGATGATGGTTATAGTAATGATGGTGAGGATTGTGGTGATTTTCATTTGTCTCGTTGTTACTGAAGATAATGACGAACGATAAAAGAATTATTTATGATGGTGAAAAGAATAAAAAGAATTAATGATAATGATTATGATGATGACGACGACGATGATAATATTGCTGATGGTGATGATAATGGTGACGATGATGATGATGATGATATCAGTGATGACGATGACGATGATCAAGAAGATGACGACAACAATACCGACCGACGCAATTCTTATCATCGGCATCAAGTTTGAAGCCGTTGTAGCAGCTGCAGAGGTAGCCACCGTTGCTGTTGATGCACCTGTGGACGCAACCACCGTTTTCTACCATACATTCGTCTACGTCTGAAATTTGTTGGTGATGACGACGACGATGATGACGACGATGACGACATAATACTACTGCTACTACTACTATTACTACTACTACTGCTGCTGCTACTACTGCTGCTACTGCCACTACTACTACTACTACTACTACTACTACTACTACTACTACTACTACTACTACTACTACTACTAAAACTACCTCTACTACTACTACTACTACTAATAACAATAACAATTATAACAACAATAACATTAATAATAACAACAACAACAACAATAAAAATAACAACAACAACAACAATAATAATAACAATAATAATATTAACAACAAGAATAATAATAATGATAGTTAAAACAGACCCAAGCAATAATTTCCATCCCCGTAAAATCCTTCTCTGCACTTGCATGTGAAGGATCGCGAGGAGTTGAAGCAGTCGGCGTTCTTGTCGCAGTAACGACGTTTGTTTTGTTGATGTTGTTGTTGTTGATGTTGATGTTGTTGTTGATGTTGTTGTTGTTGATGTTGTTGTTGATGCTGTTGCGATGACCGATTATGTTGTTGTTGTTGTTGTCGTTGATGTCTTTGGTGTCTTTTATTCTTTTTGTTGGTGTTGATGTTGTTGTTGTTGGGATAGCGTTTCAGATTTCTCTTATGTTGTTGGTTGTTGTTGTTGTTGGGTTTTGTTGGAAGTGTTATACACTGCTCGACTGTTTTTGTTTAATGAAAATTAAATAATGATAATATTAATAATAGCAAAAATAATATTGGAATTGTGTAATACCGGTAACAATATGTATGTATTTATGTATGTATGTATGTATGTATGTATGTATGTATGTATGTATGTATGTATGTATGTATGTATGTATGTATGTATGTATGTATGTATGTATGTATGTATGTATGTATGTATGTATGTAGGTATGTATGTATGTATGTATATATGCATGCATGCATGCATGCATACATGAAATAAAAAGCTT